TAGTAGTAGTAGTAGTAGTAGTAGTAGTAGTAGTAGTAGTAGTAGTAGTAGTAGTAGTAGTAGTAGTAGTAGTAGTAGTAGTAGTAGTAGTAGTATAGTCACAATAGTGGTAACAATCATGATAATAATGACAATAAGGATAATGTAGGAAACTCGAAACATGTGTAGTCCCGACAAGAAGTGATACATCCACTTTCCAACGGTGACAGGGCGGCAACTTGCCTTGCCGCGAGTGTGGAGTGGGTTGGTTAACTTCCGGATTCCATGAGTGGGTTTCATGTTTACGTCCTGTCTCAAGGAAGCGGCGTGGGTCGGAAATTTTCTACAGATCTGTTTTAATGTTCCTTCCTCCTACTGTATATGACCCGGTGGTGTATTATTGCTTTGTTGCTTCTCGCGACCCTAGCCCGGTATCGGCTCCGTATGTACTGTACTAGATCTATCTCTAGCAAATCCATTTACCACTAAAACCAGAGCAGATCATTCAAGATACATAGTACATAGCCTTTCAAAGTCATTGCAGTCGAGGACACTCATGATCTAGAGACTACGGCGTATATGCGCAATATATGCGCTGGGTGATACAAATCAAGGTAATCTCAGCAGTGGGTAATTCATTACGTCCCTTTGATTTACTGAATCCAGCTTTGACCTAACTTTCCCAGTCTTCTAGCCAACACACAAAACTTACTCCTGACTGTATGGCATCGGAAAGCGTCTGGCAATCATTGCCATTGGCTTTCTCTTCTCCACCCCTAATTACTGTATTGTATTGCTTGTTCCTCTTGGTTGTTTAGCTATTCCATACCTCTTGCTGACATGCTCTGGCCAATCCTGCTGCAGGGCTCGAGAACCGCCAGATGCGCAGTTCCTTTGTGTGTGCACATATGCTGAATTAAAGTGATTTACGTCTGGGAAGCTCTGCCGATTACATCTTTCTGCTGCAATCGAATCGATCCCCTTGCGGTCGGGTGGGATTCAGAGGTCGAACATGATGGGTCTCACTGTATAACTGATCATGTACTGTACTAAATACAACGGACTCAGCCACTTATTAAACTCACCACCCTTCAGTAATTTTGCAACATGAAGATCCTTTGGCCTGGACCATCAGAAACAGAAGAACTACCCGTGTCCAGACCAGCAGGTTCGCAAGACGCGTAGTTCGCTTGACGTGCACTTGAGTATATCCCCACCACACTAGAAGGGAAGATTGATCTGATGTTGGGGCCCTCCATTACTTTTTGTTTGACCGGGTGAAGACAGATATTGTACTCCGTACATGCACATCCTATGTATATTTACTCAATCTCGTGACATTTCTCCCCTTTTAAGATGGTGGACTAGTGGACCACTGATTGGCCGCATAGGTAACCAAATGCCAATCCAGATACTGGTGAGTCTACAGCTCTACGCTATCTAGACAGCGACAAGGAAGGAAGACAATGGGAATGTGGTGTCTGGACCACTAACTAGGGCCCGCTAGAGCCCGGGAGGGTAGGAAGACTGATTGATTAATTATTGCCTTTCGAACGACGGGGCCGCGGGAACAAGGGGTTTCCCGCCAGCCTGCACGCCTGCAACAAGTCTGCAAGATTACCTAGGGACCGGTGGGGTCGGGTCAAACGGTGGCGCCTTATCAAAATGAGAAAAAAAAGTGAGAAAAAAAGTAAAAGGGAAAAGGGAAGAAGAAGATGATGCTAATTGTTCTTCTACACTCTTACACTTGTGCATATCTACAGTCTTTCATTTTCCCCAGGCCAAAAGGCCAAAAGGCCAAGACTAATGAAGGTGCAGAAGAGAAGGACCTAGAGAGAACGAGAGAGAGGGGAGGAACATCCCCATCCCCGGCGCTCAGGCTAAGTGGGCCCGACAACGCCATTAGTAGATAGTTAGTGTAGCCCGTTCTGAGTACTCAGTGACATGGCAAACGCGCTGGCTATTCAAAGCCGCCCGCGAGAAGGCGAGACTCGACTCCATTGTTCCCCTCCTCTGTTCACTAGACCAGGCCCGACACTGCTAAACAGGAATCCATCGTATATTGTATGGATTCCCAGAAGGCCTACTATGTAAGATGTACATACTCAGGCCATGATGATAGTATCCTTTCCCTAGCACATTTGTACTGCCACCTATCCTCATTGGTGCTGCCTGCGTGTACCATAGCACTGATAGAGTACACCAACCTTGTGAAGCTACCTTCTATTGATCAAGACGACCGTGATGCAGCTAGACAGCTCTTGAGTTACCATTGTGGTCATTAACGCTCTCCTTTTCACTTGAGCCCAATCCTCATTATCCTGCTCCTCCTAGAGTTGGTTTACACCGTCTCTCGGCAATCCTGGAAATGTGTCTGCGAAGCAACAACTATGATTTGGAG